AGGGATCATGTACACAATGCAAAGTATTCCAAAGAAACTGAAGTCCTACCATGGAACTTCTGGAGTTATCATCAGGTGCCCCAACTAAAATTGTTAGATGAAATCCAGTAAATGTTTTCTTTGGTTTTAGAGGTTCCAAAAGGCTTCCTAAGCTGGTGCTAAAGGTATGGCAGAGATGGGGAGAGATGGACACAGAGAGAGGAGGGACAGGATCGGAGGAAAAGAGGGAACGAGGACTGCAGAAGTCCACACTGTACAGCTCTGGAGTGACGACGAGGGTTCAGCGCCAGCTCTCCCACTGACTGGCTGCAAGACCCTGGAGAAGCTCCCTTACCAGACCAAGCCTCTTTCTTATGGGCAAAATGGAGATGATAATAGTGCTTCCCTCCTAGGTTTGTTGTAAACATTCAATATCCCTACTTAATACACAGATTTTGCTTAGAACAATGAATGTCTCACTCTGTAAAAGCCACACTTTTGCTTTCTTTCTATAAATATAATAAGTGTGGTCAGAGTGAGGGGGGATGGCAGGTTGAATTAAGTCATTGCAAGGCTGCTGTGGTAGAGATTGTGGGTGCCTTCCACACGCATCCCCTGGCATCCACCTCAGCTCTAGGAAGAGACCAGAAGCCCAAACTATGTGGTGAATTAAACACAGCCCTGCCTTGGTTAGATGCCCAGTGGGAGTGGAGGAGTGTGGCCTAAGTCAAGTGCACAAGACCAGAATCGCACAGTCCCAGAGGCAGGAAAAGGAGAGAAGTAGGAGATACAAGACAGGGACGTCTAGGAACCTAGGAACCTTAGGCCCAGCTGCACCAGTGTCCCTTTCCCCCCACAGGAAGAAAGAACAAGACCCACAGAGCAAGGAAAAAAGAGGGGGGCATGAACTCCCTACTAGTCTGATAGCAGGTCCAGAAGAAACACAATTTCCTTGGCCAAAGAAAAAGAGATGAGCTCTTGCCCTGGGGCAAAATACGCACTTCCTAGAAGGGAGAGAGGGCAGAGTTCTCACTTACCTTCAGGCCTGACTCTCACTCGTCCAAATGCTGGTGGGGGCGGGTCTTCAGTCAACCATTCTTAAAGGTAGTTGGAGCAGTTCTCGAATAGTGGAAGACAACAGTCATCCTCAGAAAAGTTATCAAAGACTAATTATACTTTCATTTACATTTTTATTTGAAAGATGTTTTTAAATGTAAAACTCAACCTTGATTGGAATTTTTGTCAGTGAAAGTGTAAAGGTAGCAGTATTGAATGTGGAATCAACATTCTAACTCCTTTATTACAAAATTCCATTTGCCTTTGGTTACAATCAAGTTTTAAACTTTATTTCAGTCAATGACCAGATTAGTCCCGGGATTAACAAAGTGTCTTCTGTGGGCCACACTCAACCTACCATCTGTTTTTATAAATTAAGTTTCTTTGGAACATAGGGACATCCGTGTGTTTACATCCTAACTGTGGCTGCTTTGGAGCTTCAAAGGCAGAGTTTTCATAGAAGCCATGTGGCCAGCAAAACCTAAAAATGCTTACTCTCTGGCCCTTTATGGAGGAAGAGTGCTGATCTCCAAAAGAGTCAATAGAAAAATAAATGGGAACACAACTAGATAAATGATGTTTCTCCTCTGTTAAGAATGTTAAGAGTTCATTAGTTTATTTGAAAATATTTAGTGAGTATCTAGAATCTGGCTTAGCATTTCCTAGACCCTTGGAAGAGAGCAGTGGAGAATACTGAGTGCTTGTCTCAAGAAGCTGACATTCTTGTGGGGAGAAATAGACCAAAATAAGCATACAGTATGGCACGTGGATATATGTCCTTAAAGGCAACATAAGTATTGAAGGAAAAGAGAGGCTAGCAGTATACTATTTTCTGCAGGATGATAGTAAAGGGATTTTGGTTATGTGACATGTGTGCAGAGACGAACTCAAAATTAAAGAATTAAGCCTTGCTTCCAGATAAGAGTATTCCTGGTGTAAGTAACAAAGATGAACAAAGAAATGAAAGAGATAAAGAGACGGCACCATGCTTAGTGTATCTGAGGAAAAGCGAGAGAATGTCAGTGGACTGTATCAGAGTAAGCAATGGTGAACTGGAAAAAGAGATGAATTTAGAGAGTAGGTGCTAGATCTGATACAGAATTTTGATATTACAGTGCAAAATGGAAGACCAATAAAGGGTTTACTCCAAAGGAGTGAAATATCTGACTTATGTTTAGGAGCGGTCACTGGCTGTGGTATGTAATATAGGGGGCAAACATAGAATCCAGGAAAGCCATTAAAATGCTCTGTCAGTCAGCTTCTGCTAGGCTTTGCTGCAGTAATGAGAACTCCAATATCTCTGTGATTTAGACCACAAAACTTTATTTCTTGCTCAGGTTAGATGTTGCCTGCTGCTTTGATTGATACTGTACAGGAAGAATAGCCCCAATCTGTGATATCACTATACAGGAAGAATAGCCCCAATCTGTGATATCACTGGGCTTATGGCTGAACCACATGGTGGCTCTAGAAGACTGCTCAGCAACAGAACATGTCATTTTCATGCACACTTCACTGACCAAAACACAGCACATGGCTATACCTATTATTAACAGATCTCACAGGATGGGGTAGTGAGTATGGGAATGATGAGAAAAATCTACTGCAGCAGTTACTGCAAAGGTTTTTGGATCAGGATGATAGAAGTGGAAGTGTTGAGATGTGATATTCTGGATATATTTTGGACGGGATTACTGGTGAACTGAAAGATGTGAGAGAAAAGGGGGTCAAGAATGGCAATAATGTGTTTGGCCATGAGCTGATAAAATAGGGCCAAATTTATGAAATAAACAAAATCTTGCCTTTATTTATTTACTTATTTGCATTGACCACGCACTTCCTTTGTGATATCTATTCTCAGTTTTTTTAAGGACTTTGATCTCAGTTGGTTAAGGCCATCAGCTGCATGGAAGTTATTGCATTGGTTAAGAGCATAACTAGAGTCAGATAAATTTTCTGCAGTTTCTTATGTTCTCCGCTTCATGACCTTGGGAAAATTAGATAACATCTCAGAGCCTCCACTGTATAACCTGTAAAATGGTGGATAATATTTTTCTTTATGGAATGTTTACAGCATGAGATAAGATACGCATCTGGAAAGTAATAAATGCTCATTTAATGGTACCTCTTGTTTGTATTATTAAGGGTGCAAGAGGGCAGGTTTAGGGTAAGAGGGTAGGTAGGCAGAAGCAATTGAGCTGAGAATATATACCCATCACGAGCTGGGTCCTTTACCTTCTCTCACTGCATCGTCACAACCGGCTTGTGGAATGAGGCTTACCACACCCATTTTGCAGGTAAGCAAGTCAGTGCACAGAGGGATTGAGTATTTTTTCCCAAGGTCACACAGCTTTTAAAGCTAAGAAATAGGATTCAAACACAAGCCTGTTTCAATATGAAGCCTGTGCTCAAATAAATCAAATATAGGACTTAAAATCTTGGTGTTGCTTGCTATTTATAGTTCACTTATTTTTGATGGCATCAATTATCATAAACATTAAACTGATAAAGTATGAAAAGCAATCTGTGAATTCACTTCTAAGAAATTGTGAGAGTGATTCTTTTTCTCCAGACAGGCAAATCCTTCTTGAGGATATATGCAAATGTAGTACAGAATTAGAAAGTCTTATTTATACTCTGGGGCCAGGGAAATGGCTTTCTGGCATGGATCTGAAAAAAGCTATGCATTGTTTAATGCAGGTAGAGAAGATAGTGGAAAAAGCTCAGGCATTAGTAATGAGAGTGTAAATTCTTGAAAAGAATAAATACAATTGAAAAACAAATGTGTGAGTATGTGAAACCACAGTAAGAGTGACAGTGATATAATTAAGAGTAAATAAGATTGCACTTTAATACTAGTTCAATAAGAAAAATATTTTGAAAAAAATGAGTAATGTCCAAAGCTGGCAAATGTGCAGTGAAATCTGGTCCTTCATATGTTATTCTAGGCAATCTAAAATGAAAAGTAATCTGGAGAAACACAGGAGACTGTGAAAATATTTACACTCTTTACTTCAGTAACTTCCCTTCTGAGAATTCATTTAAAAAAATGATTCAAAATATTAGGGGGGGGGAATGAAGATGTTCTTGTAGAATTACTTAAATGATAGCTCTCAAAATATGTATGTCCATCACAGATTGAGGAATGAAGTATTGATACATGTTACAGCATGGATGGCCCCTGAAAGCATGTTATATGAAGGATGCCAGATATAAATGGCCACATATTGTGTGGTTTTATGTATACGAAATGTTTGCCATAGGAAAATCTTTGGAGATAGAAAGTCGATTAGTAGTTGTTCCGGGCTGGGTTGTGTGGTGGAGGTTGGGAAGGTGGAGTGACTGCTAATGTGTACATGGTTTCTTTTGCGGATGATAAAAATGTCCTGCCTTACCCTCGGATGATGGTTGCATAACCATGTAAATATATTCAATCGTACACTTTAAATAGGTGAATTGTGTCTCAATAATGTTATATCTCAATAACAATGTTAAAAAATAAGTAAATAATAGAATATTTACTGTAATTAAAACTAAGTCATGCAAGTACAAGAAAAACAACCAAGTAAATATAACCAAATGCCAACAGTGGTTTCATTCAAAAGGTGAATTTATGGTTGAAAATTATTGCCTTTTCTTGTCCAAATTTTTTATAACATGACTAAATTTCTCTCATTATCAAAATGACTTAGATATAACTAGCAAATAGAAGAACCATTCTCCTTCAGAGCTGTGCCTCCCCATCCACTAAAATCAAGTCTTCTTTCTTTTTGCTTTGCGTAGTCAAGTGTCAGGAAATTTATAGTCTGGCAGCATGCCCCACCCGCTTCTAGCCACTTCAGGCCATTTGATACAATTTTATGAATGAAAAAAGCAACCACATTAATGGATATAACCCAAAAAGAAAAATATATATACACATTAAGATTCTAGCATATTGAATATACATGTGTTCTCACTTTTAGGAAGTGATAGAAGCAATTGCTGAGTGTGCATTTAAGACTTCACCTTTTCCAATTCTGCTTTCATTTGAGAACCACGTGGATTCGTAAGTATTCAACACATTCAAGGGGAGTCTTTTCCCCAAATAGGCCATGTTTAATAATTATTTATCATATTTAAGATTATTTGACATTATTACTGATGTTTCTCAATTGTGTTATATGTTAAATGGCAGGTTTTCATCCATATTTGATGGAATTCATTCAATTAAATCTCATTAACATTAGGATAATACACTGAATTTGTGGAATCTATTTTCATACTATAGCAAGATTTTAAATTAAGGGCTCTTCTCTGTCTATATTTGTATGGAAATGTAGTTGGCATATACTATTATATTAGTTTCAAAATTATATTAGTTATGTATTATGTTTCAGCAATACAATATTATATTACATTATATGTACAGTATAGCATTTCAACATTTATATGTGTCACAAAGTGATCACCATGAGAAATCTAGCTACTATCTGCCACCATACAAAGTTATTACAGTATTATTAGCTATATTCTCTATATTTTACATTACATCCCTGTATCTTATTCATTTTATAACTGGAAGATTGTACCTTTTAATCCTCTTCCCCTATTTCACCCATACCCAACCCCTGCCCTCTGGCAACCACAGATTGGTCTCCATATCTATGAGTCTATTTCTATTTTGCTTGTTTATTTGTTTTGTTTTTCATAGTCTACATATAAGTGAAATCACACCATGTTTGTCATTCTCTGACTTACTTCATTTAACATAACACCCTCTAGGTTCATCCACATTGTCACAAATAGCAAGGTTTCATTCTTTTTCATGGCTGAGTAATATTTGAGTGTGTGTGTGTGTGTATGTATCACATCTTTATTCACCATCTATCAGTGGGTGCTTAGGTTGCTTCTATCTCTTGGCTCTTGTAAGTAATTCTACAATGAACACAGGGGTGCACATATCTTTTTGAATTATTGTTTTCATTATCTTCATATAAACAACAAGAAGTGGAATTGCTGGATCATCTGGTAGTTCTATTTTTAAGTTTTTGAGGAACACTATGGAGATGTTCATAATAACTGCACCATTTTGCATTCCCAGCGACAGTGCACAAGGCTTCCCTTTTTTCCACATCCTTGTCAGTATTTGTTACACTTTATCTTTTTGATAGTAGATATTCTGATTGGTGGGAGGTGAAATTTTGTTGTGGTTTTCATTTGCATTTCCATGTTGATTAGTGATGTAGATGCATGTGTTGGCCTTTTATGTCTTCTTCGGAGCGATGTCTCTTCAGATTATTTGCCTAATTTTTTAATTGAGTTAGTTTTTTTTTAAATTTTGGTATCATTAATCTACAATTACATGAGCAACATTATGTTTACTAGACTCCCCCATCATCAAGTCCCCCCACATACCCCATTACAGTCACTGTCCATCAGTGTAGTAAGATGCTATAGAATCACTACTTGTCTTCTCTGTGTTGTACAGTAGTTTTTTTCATACTGACTTGTGTGAGTTCTTTATATATTTTAGATATTAACTCCTTGTTATATTATTTGTAAATATCTCCTCCCATTTAGTAGGTTGCCTTTTTGTTTTGTTGATGATTTCTTTTACTGTGTAAAAGTTTTTTAGTTTGATGTAGTCTCACTTGTTTATTTTTGTTTCTGTTGTCCTTACCTAAGGAGACAGATCTAAACACTACTGCTCAGATTGATGTCCAAGAGCTTACCACCTGTTTTCTTCTAAGTGTTTAGGTTTCTAGCCTCAAAAGTCTTAAATCCATTTTGAGTTTATTTTATAAATAGTATAAGAAAGTGATCTAGTTTCATTCTTTTGCATGTCATTGACCAGTTTTCCCAACACAATTTCTTGAAGAGACTGTCCTTTTCCTGATGTATATTCTTGCTTCATTTGTCAAAATTAACTGACCATATTAAAGTGAGTTTATTTCTGGGCTCTAATTCTGTTCAATTGATCTATGTGTCTAGTTTTGTGCCAGTACCATGCTGTTTTTTATAACTATGGCTTTGTAGTATAGTTTGAAATCAGGAAGCATGATATCCACAGCTTTATTCTTTTTTCTCAAGATTTTGTTAGTTATTCGGGGTGTTTTGTGGTTCCATGCAAATTTTAGGATTATTCTGTTCTAGTTCAATAAAAAAATGCCATGGTATTTTGATAGGGATTACTTTGAATCTGTAGATTGCTTTGGGTAGTATGGGTAGTATGCTCCACAATAATAATTCTTCTAATCCATGGACATAGTATATCTTTCCATTTGTGGAAGGACGCCTCCTTTTACAATGCAATGGAACACCTTTCTGTACATAATACACACCTCTATTGTTATAAGCCACTTTTATAATCCTCCTTAAGTAAGTCCCTCTATTGCATGCAAATTTAGAATCAGTTTTGCCACACTAAAATGACCAGTTCCATACATGTCAGAGCTGGTGGAGAGAAAACTATAAGTTCTATCCTGCCACTTTGCACTTACACAACACTCAGACCACCAAATACTCCTTCTTCCTCTTCCCATTGGTTTTCCTTATTTGTTAATATTTATAAATATTTTCCTATTTCAGAATAGCTTATATTTATCATTGAGCTACACAAATAAAAGGTATTTTGACTTAACTCTTTTATATTCATTTTATCACAAAGTGCCAGAGTAAGACACACTTACATCTAAAATGTGGATATTAGTTTATCTTATACTTACTCAATGTGAAGAACTCCAAATGAAAGATTCTTCTCTATATTGAATCAAAACTCAAGAAACTAAAATTCTAGTCCATGTACTTAATGTTTGAGGACTATGTAGTAGTAATCTTCATTGCTCAAAAGAGCACCTGTGAAGCCCTTTCCTTCATTTCTATTATGTAAGCCAGAGTTCTTAACTAAAATGTAACAGCACCTATCGAATTTAGCTTCAAAGTTCCTTTTTTCCCCCTTTTTCCTACTGAAAGTCTTTCCCAGGTCACTGCTTCCCTTTGTCCAACTAATTTGCAACACGCACTTCAATTTCACTTTTTAAAGAATTTACTAATCTTAAAGAAGCAGTTTGGCCATGACCAAATTCCAGCTTGAGAGATTTCGAAGTATTTAAATGTGATCATTTATTAATGTATGTGTGGAAAGAAACGTTCATTTGAAGTACCAATTTTATAATTATCTGTACTTTTCATTTTCCCTCAGGAAATTCATGTTACATTTACCAGCTTGTAATCCTATTTCATTAGGAAAAAAAAATCATCCAATGAATGATATAACCATTTGGCATATAGTTCTTCTAACACTTAGGAGGGTCAGTTGAAGAGAAAAGAATTTCTTCCATTTCATTGCCATTTTTTTTCTGACTAAAGGGAGCACTTACTTAGCTTCTGTATGTAATATCTCATTTACTGTGACAGCTCTGATTTGCACATGACTTTCCTGGAGCATTTTCTCATCTCTACCCATCCATTTGTAATTGGGTTGTAACAATATTTTAGAACCTTTCTTTCAGACCCTATAATTCTCAGACCTGCTGATGTGTTATTTCTTTATTGGGAAAATATCTCCAAATCTAACACCTTTATTTTCTTCAAGGAATGTTTCTATGTAAGTTTGACAAAATGAAAAACTGTGGTTCCATACTTGACTGTCACACCTGCTAACCCTGAACTCTCCCATAGGAAGCCAGAGAGACATCAAACCACTGCCACCCCCATAAACATAACAGCTAATATTTATTGAATTTTTATTATGTGCCAAGCAACATTTCAAGTGTAAGCTCTTGTCACCTTTCTCTCAAACTCAAATGCTCCTAAGAATAACTATTTTGATGATTATCCCTATTTTACAGATGTTGAAACTGAGTCCCAAAGGGGGTGAGTAACTTACCCAAGGCTGTCCAGATAAAACATTAAAACATGACAGAGCTGGGATTCAAGTCCAGCTAGTCTGGCTTCAAAACCCATACATTTAGCCAACACAATCCCCCACATCTAGGCAGAAGCACCGTAAACCTTTGAAAATGAATTAACAACTAGAGCATCGACAAGGCAACTGTATTCGAATGTTCACATTTATGTGGCTTGTGATACTTAGTCACTAAACCCTTACACAAAGACAAGAAGATAGGACCATAATACTGCTCTTTCTGGTGTAAAAATAAGTGATTTATTTATTAAAAGTTCATTAATAAGTTGTATGTCACAAAAGAAAACAGAAATACAACCTCCCCAGGGTGCCATGATATTCATCCCAAACTATTGAGATAATCTACTGGAAGTGAGAAACTAAGATACTGAATTCTTTTGTGGGAAGAAGTTGCTTGTTACATATCACCTTAGTCCTTGAGCTTCACATATGCAAATCTCTTAGATACTCTTCTTTCCTGGGGGGATGATCACATACTCAAAGGAAATTTGTAAACCTTCCCTGTACTGGTAAAACCTGTGCCTGACATGTGGGCTCTTTCCCACTAAATATAACCTCAGAATCCTTCTCAACACTTTCTGAAACCTATTTGCCATCTCTAGCCAACTATTTTATTCTTCTGTGTGCTGCATATACAAGATGCCAGATTCAGAACTCAGGTGCCAGCTCATCTGAGCCACACCTCTGGAACAAACTCACACTGGAAGACATCCACTGAGTTGTCTGGTTTTCTCTCCTAATATTTGAAAGCATGTATCTATGGACAACAGAGGGGCATAGCTGCTGACAACTTTTCCTTCTCTACTAACTACATCAGAATCTCATAAAATGCAGATTCCTGAGCTGCACCCCAAGTCTGAATTTGAATGTCTAGAAATGAGATTTTGAAATCTTAAAAAAAACAAGCCCTAGTTAACTCTGATGCACCACCTAATTTGTTAACTAGCATTTTCTTTTGAAGCATTCTACACTGAATTCAAGCAAAATAATTCCTAGTGCTGCTTCAGCCACAATGAGAGATTTTGGACAATTTTCTTGATTTTCATGGGTTGTAGCTCCTCATCTACAGAGATAGATGGGTTAGTTCAACTTAGAGGATTTATACCATCAAATGGGACATGTTCTTTGGTTAGAAAACCAGCCGTGTTGCCAGGTGCCTACACTTTACAGATGCTTCAGTATGTCTAGGTGTTTCTCCTGCAGCCCGAAGCTGAGAGTGTATTTGTGAATATGTCCCCCTCACTTCACCTCCATGGTGGCTGATGTTGATACTCTAAGTGCATCAGGAGTATTTTTTTTTTTTTTGCTGTCTAATTGTAATGTGAATGCCATATATTTCTGCATCTCTAACCTGCAGTTAAAGTTGCTCTGTTCTCCTTTGACTTTTTCTGTTCAGTTTGCTCTGTGCTCTGATTGGGCTGTTTGGCAGGTGGACATGTGTGGAGAACACAAATAGCCTCCTTACCAAATTGCACATTTTACATTTTCATTGGCACTTACCTCTTGTTCTCTTTATTTCAGTTGACGTTGAGGCAGGTCTTAAAGTCTCCGTCAAACTTAGTCCTCACTCTTCAAAGGACTGTTGATCTTGGACCAGCAGCATTTGCATCACTGGAGAACTGGATAGAAATGCAGAGTCCCAGGCCCTACCCCAAACTGCCTCTGAATCGTTTTCTTAAGACCCCAGGTGATCTGAGCAAAGTGTTAATGTGCTGCTCTAAATGCCATGGCCCATTAACCACCTGCATAATAATTACTTACAGGCTTGTTACAAATACAGGTTCCAGGGTTCCACCCCCAACTTAGTGATCAAGGAACTGGGGACTATGCCATGCCACCTGCAGTATTAACAGCTCAGGGGATTCTATAGTGGAATTAAGATATTCCCCAGCAAAATCCTTCTCATGTCCCAATCTGGGAACTGCCTGACTGGTGGAGGACTCTGCCATTCACCTCCTTGAGGACACCTAAACATCACTCCAAAAACCCTCAAGTCATGAGAACATGGCTCCCCTAGAAATACCAAAAGCAGGGCATTAGGTTAAAACCCTTCCTTTTCACTTCAGATCTCTGATCAAATGAACATGGGGCTCCCAAGTTCCCACACTCCAGAAAAATGTCATTTACTTTAGTTCCTATGGATTTATTTCAATCTGTCACAGTGGTTCTGACTTAAACATGCATCAGAATCATCTAGCAGACTTGTTAAGAGCCCTGAGCCCTGCTTCCTCCGAGATTCTGATACAGAATCAACATTAGAGGCCTTGATGTCCAACCAGGTCCATGTGCTATTGGTGTTGCTGGTACTCCGACCACACTTGGAGCTGCAAAGCTCTGTGACATTTAACAGTGACATTCTGTGACCATAAAATGCAGGATTTGGGCAAGTTCTTTCATGCAACCCAGAATGTGTGAGCCCAAGACAGATGGACTTGTCTCAGCTCCAGCTACCTAGCTGGCAGGCTTGGTGGAGCCCCTGGGCCGGTAATCCTTTGGGTGTCTGAATGGAGGATGCCCAAGGCTACTTGACCAAATTGACCTTTTCCCTTGTTGCTCCCCACCTTCTCCCCAACAAGTTGTCCTTAAACAACCACCCCCAGTGTTTTCAGGATCAGGGCTCTGACTGACACATGTTCCTCTTTCTGATACTGCTGAGGAATGCCACGGGTAGTCTGAGGGCCACATGAGCCGTAACTCCTACAGATCAAGCAAGACATGATGAGAAGGCGGGAGGTTGTTATGTAGGGATTTGCAAGTTCTGTGAATCTCTCCTTTGCCTCTTCCTGTACTTCCAAGAAAGCAGTGACCTTGGGCTCATATTTGAACCTGAGAGAGCTCACATGGCCCCCCAAATATACACCTTTAAAAAAATAGTGATAGAAAGAGTGCTGTTCCCTGTGGACCATTGTAATGTAATCTGAATCCCCAAAACATTACCCTTCCCAGGGAAAACCAGTCCATGATCCAGGCTTAACAGTCGTGGAAAAGGGAATGAAAATAAGAAGCACACTTTATAATCAATATGAATTGTGGTAAAGGAGGCTTTTGTCACCTATTTATTCTTACTGCAGTCCCAGTGTATTAACATCGCAGCATGTAGAGACAACTATTGGAAATCAAGTTCGACAGCCTGTAGATCAAAATCACAGTCCATAAAAATGGATGGAATTGAATACCTTTCTAATGCTATTTCAGGTTCTACAGAATGAGAAAAAAAGTTTATTGGTTTTTGAAAGGTCAAGGGATGCAGGAGTATTGAAAGAATATGGATGTTCTCTCGTATCGACTGTGTTTATGTGTTAGTGAGCACACCAGTTGTCTAGTCTGGCTGGCTGGCCCATGCTGCCTTCCAAGTCTGGGATCGCCTTTCATCTGCCCCCTCTTTTGACATTGCAAAGGTGTCTGTCTATATCCATTGCTTCACTTCATCCTCTCAGCATCCTCTGTCCCGTCCCACACAGTGATTATCTTCCTAATTGTATAGATCTAGAGCAGTTGAGAGCCTGGAGCTCAGCTCTGCAAACCCTGCAACTCCAGCTTTTTCCATCAGATCAGGTCCCTACTGGCATATAGCCAGGTTGATGCCACCTTTGCTTCCCTGTGATATGCACTAAGACAACGTGCCTACTTCTTTTATTTCTCCTCCAGGTTCCCCCCACCACAAGTGGCACACTCTTTCTGCCCTTTCTCTTCTTCACTTGGGTACTCTCTCCCTCCTCTCTGTCCACCTCCCTCCTTCCTACCTCCTCACAAGCTCTCCTTGCAGCACAGCCTTCTGTGGGTTTGAGAAATTTCACCTGAGAATTCAAGTGGAGTCCTGCATGAGATCCACCTCCCGAATGTCTTGCATTTGACTTAGAATCAGGAAATTGAACAAAAGGGACTGAGTCCCTAATTCTGGGACATTTCAGAATCCAGTAACAGGCAAATGACCTACTGTCCCGTCCATCTGTGTCTGTGCAGGTCAGCCTTGGGCATAGCTTCCATCATCACTTGGTGTGACATTCAAGTTCACATGAGTCAGGATAGTAAATGAGGGATTTAGAGCAATAAAAACAGATCCTGAAGGGTAGAATGAGGGAATTACCTCTTTCTGGAATTAATAACACGGAGCAATCCTGCCCAGCCTCTTTGACTAAGCCTTCTTGCTTTCTTGTCTTTCTGTCTTTCCCTTAGCCCAAAGCAGCAAGCCAAGATGGCCGAATACTGCCGGCTGATCTTTGGGGACGCCCTTCTCATGGAACCACTGGAAAAATACCCAGTAAGTGGTTTTGATGTTTCCCCTGGAAGGAGCACACATATTATTTATGATTGCATATTATTTGTGATCACAGCTGGGGGAGACTTCCTTATATCCTTTCTGTGCTTATATTTCTTGGGAAGATTAACACATGCCATAATAAACCTTTTGACCAGGAGGGTAGCAGCAGTGTCCCCCACTGGGGTAGGAGACATGCATCTCTTCTCTTCCTGTGCCCACAGGCTTCCCCTCCCTCACTGCCCAGCATGAGCCACTCATGCCCACAATCCTGGCAATCACAGTCAGCCTGAGGAGACAGTCCGAGGGGATAAGGCTCCGGTTATTACCTCCCAGGGAGCCACATGAAAACCCTTTGAGAGAAACGAGTTGGCAAAATGGGACACTGCAGGTGGCACAATGACATCCTGGACTGGCCCTGCTGGGCACTCCTCACCTCCTTGCCTGCGCCCTCTGGGGAAACAGAATTCATACCACATATTGCCGTGTTCCCAGCCTTGCTTCGGGAAGGAGAGCAGCAGAAATATCCTAAAGTCATAGCTTTTTCCCTCTTCAGCCCTTTTTCCCAATCTCCACACATCCTTATATGATTTCAAAACAGTCTCCAGACTCTATGCAAGGAAGGAATAGAGGACCAGTTTATGGAAGTTCACTAGACTTTCTAAAAATAGCTCATCGTGGGACTTATACACATCCTCTCTGATACAATATCTGATAATCCTCTCATGGGAAATTGATTTTCCCATTAGCAAGCTTGGAACACTAGAAATAAGGCTTGCAAAAAAGGGTAGCTTGAATCTCTGGGCTGCCAAGAAATTTGATGTCCCCCCAACCCCCAACCCCAGTTCCTTTCTGCTGGTGCCAGGGAGGCATGCAGATTAACCACCTCGTGCCAGGATGGGGATTTTGCTGGTTTTGAACTGCATCTGAAAAGCTGATTCTGAAAGCTTGCCCCGAAGCTCCTGCCCATCCTTACCAACTCTTCCTGGCAGACACTGCACTCTGGCTGGCTTCCGCACTTTAAAAATCCAGGCCTTCTTGTCTGTCCTAAATCAAGATGGCTGGATTCGTACTGTCTATCAGAAAACTCATGAAACTTCCAGTTATCACTCCAGATATCCCAGTATGTGGCTATGGTCTTACTCTTGTAGATTTCATTGTGGGAAAATAAGAGTACAGTAATTAAAATATACTTTCCCACATGAAAAAAGAAAGAGCTGTAAACCAGCCCCTGTGCAGGACACACATAGGACAGTTTAATGAGCTTGATTGAAGGTAGTAAAGAATAATCTAGAATCTCTTGGTATCCAGTGTTTTCCTGGAGATGTAGGGAGGGAAGCTGAAAAGGAGCAGTGTTTTAAAGAATGTGCTTTTCTTTTCCATTAGCTGGAATCTGGAGTTCCTCTTCCAAGCCCTATGGATTTAATGTACAAAATTTTGGTGAAAAATAAGAAGAAATCACACAAGTCATCAGAAGGAAGTGGCAAAAAGAAGCTCTCTGAACAAGCCTCCAATACGTACAGCGACTCCTCCAGCGTGTTCGAGCCCTCGTCGCCAGGCGCCGGTGAGGGGCTGGCAGACTCTCGCTCTCCTAGTTGGTGTGGGTTTAAGAATTGCTTCTCTGAAATTAGTTTAGAATGATTTTAACATTCTAAAATCTATTTGGCCACAGATGTAAACTGTGTGTGGGGGTTTTCTACTTCTGCTACAAACTTGGCTTAAACTACATCAAAGTATAGTTCCCCAAATTTATAGGTCAAAGGCCCACGTGGATCTCACTGGGTTAACTCCAGGTGTCAGTGGGGCTGCTTTCCTTTCTGGAGGCCCTAGGAATCCTATTCCTTGCTCTTTCCAGCTTCCAGAGGCCACACACGGTCGTTGGCTCATGGCCCCTCCTCCAGCTCCAAAGCCCACAGTGGTGCCATCTTGCTGCTTTTGTCAACCTATCTTCCTCTGACACTGGGTGGGAAACGTCCTCTGCTTTTAAGAAACATCATTACATTGGACCTTTCTGGATAATCCAGGATAATCTCCCCCATCTCAAGGTCCTTCACTTGATCTCATCTGCCAGGTCCCTCTTGCCATGTATTCAGAGAACATGGAACATATTCACAGGACATGGGCATTTTTGGGAGGCCATGATCCTGGCTGCCACATAAGTCAAATAATCTTGGGAGGGACCACATGATTTTTAGCTTCTCAAAGGCAGTGATGCCTCGATTTTAACTATAGGCCAGGACAGAAGACATCCACTGAACATACTCTTATTAATGATGTGCTAGAGGGTTCTGGCATTTCAGTTTATTCCTGTTATTCAGAATTCTTTTAAAATGTGAAATGATAAAGTTACCTGAATGATCTATCAAAGCTATGAGGTGGTACTAACCATCACTCATTTTCCTTTTAGATTTCAGTTGAATAGGTTTTTGTGGCTGATGAGAAAAGAATTGAAAGTGGTCGCCTGTTCCCTTTGGATTATTTTTCATGTAGTCTAAGTCATTTTCCACCTTTAGTCAGAATCCTGGCAATCTGACATGTGCATTATGAAGATCTCCCGAATGAAGGGTGAATTAAGTGGAGGAAATGTTAACTTGCATCTAGGAAGTTCTGCAATGAAAAATTTAACATTGGAATAATCATTTTGGAAAACTGGCAGAATCTACAAAAGCTGAATATATTCACCCCCTATATAACAGGGCACTCTATGCCAAGGTCTATACCCCACAGGAATACGTATAGATGTTCAGCAAGAGACAACTACAAGAACTGCTTAAAGCGGCACGATTCAGAGTAGTCAAAAACCGGAAAACAACCAAATGCCTGTCAACAGATAAATGAATATGAATTGTGGGATATTCACACCACGGGATAAAAGACAGCGATAGTTATCTACAGCTGTGTGGTTGTTCAGGGGCAGAATCTCAGAAGTAAAATGTTGAGCAAAAGAAGTCAAATACAAAGAAAGTATTTACTGTGTGATTCCATTTCTGTCAAGTATGAAAACACACAACACTAACCTATGCTGTGAGGAGTCAGGAAATGGTTGCCCTTAATGATGAAGTGATCAAAGTGATGAAGGAAGCTTCTGCACACCGGTTATATTTTGTTTCTTGATCTGCTCTCTGGTTACTAAGGTTTGTTTAGTCAGTGAAAATTCATCATAATGTAGACATATGGTATGTGTACTTCTCAGTATATAACAAGATACGTCTATGAAAAGATTTTAAAATAAGAAAATATTTTAACTGTAAACTCTAGTGCATCAGGAAAAACAAGAGGTGGGCCAAGACTCTAATTTACCTTTTCTTCTATTTTTCCATCTCAATGACCAATACCTTTTAGTATTTAGGTTAAAATCCTTATCATCAAATATTATATAATTCTTGAAAGGCTTTTTTTTGGGAGGGGTTAGTTTTAATGTGTATTTCAAACATTGTTACACAATTCTGATTCTTTTTTTACAGAAATAATTTTTGTGGTCAGTAAGAATGTCCTTTTTGAAGCTTTGGAACAAGTATCATTAACAGGCTGCCCATTTCTTAGCATAATTCTACCCCTTAAATCATCGTCAGTAATCCGTGTCTTTCTTTGCACATGGGAGCTTGTTTTACCATCTGCCTTTTTCCCCCTACTAGTCCTCTCCTTCTTATTAACTGGATGCACCACACAAATAACAGTTTTTACAGGCATAAACATTATTGCTTAATACACAGAAAGCAGCAATCTGTTAGTAATTTGGTAGATTTCCTAAGCTAGTCCCATAGTCTGTTGTGCAATACTTATTTATTTCAGTGGAAATTTTTGGACATTTTAATATGTAGGTATGTCCCTAAGAAAGAGCACTGCTAATGAACCATTTGGTTTGTAGACGTTCTCGGCACTGGGACCTCAAGCAATGTGAAAAACATGAAATAGCTCTAATCTCAAAGCTGATGGACTTGTCACAGCCCCTACTGGCCAGGTGCCTCTTCTAGAACACAGCCCTTGGACAGTATGCTTGTCTTACTAGGATGAAGTGGTTTTGTTTGTTTGTTTTATGGTTCAACAAGGTTCTTTCAAGGTCCCTCCAAAGACTTAGCAGCGGAGAAGACAAATTATATAGAAAGACAAATTCTTCTTTCCCACATAAACGAGTGTATGACATGATTATTTGAAATGGCCAGTATATTATTGTGTTCTGTGAAGCATGGTGTAGGACTGGCCAAACAACTTTTTTAAGTTATTCGATAAAAAGAATCCCCTCTCTCATTGAAAAGCAAAAAGTAGTAATACGAATACAAATCACACATTTGATTATTAAAAAAACATAACTGCCAGTCTCCTAAAAGAATGTGTCACTATATCATATATGTTTTTATCCAAAATATAATTGATTCCCCTTGTGAACTAGCACAATATCAGCATCATAAAGTGGTTGTATGGGACTCTCTATAATAAACAAACCACAAATAACAAAGCTTGTTGATCCCAGAAATCTTTTCCCTCTGAAGATATTTCATGGATATATTGCTCACTACTATCATTCAGTAATTGAACTTCGTCAGCCAAATGAAAACATTTCCAAGCTTCTTGGAAGGCAGTGCTGTGGGCACCGTGGCATTGATGCAGATTTGAGCAAGCTGCTAAATTTCTGCAGGCAGGGAAGGAGAGGTACGTCCAAAGCAAGTTGCCTCATTGTTGAGCCGATATTGCCATCTACTGGAGATGATATGCTATTGCACCAGGTGATTCCTGAAGTAGTCAAAGCCAGCAACTTGGAACTATGCCTTCCTTACTTTTTACTCGAAAATCTATTTATATGACTGATTACATGGCATGTTAAAGTCAATAATAGTTGGGTCTGACTTTTAAAGCCTAGGGCTGCAGAAGAATGTAATACCTCATACTCGTGTGAATATTTAAGCTAGCAAAATCATCCACCGAATCTTCAGGGAGAGAAACAATCCGTTACAATGACTATGTATGTGCTAACTATGATGCTGAATTGTGCCTGACTACGGTAAATTCCCATGCCTTTTCAAAAAGAATGTCACCTTTTTCTAAGATACATGCATTGTTTAGAGATCAGTGTACCCATCAAATAAACCTGCAGGCAAATCCTAGGATACAGCTCGTACCTCAGAGTTTTTGTGTGGTTAGGTGTGCGATGTACCGTATCCCCACTGTTCCTGCTCCAGCTCATGTCCTCTACGTCCACTTCTGAGAGGTTCTCGGTGGCCTTGGAAAAGCGGCTTCAAGGTCACCCAGCGCTAACCAAGCATTACATGGGGGTGTCAGACTGAGAAAGAAGGAAAGATGGGAAAGAGACTAGAAAGAGAACGTATACATCAAGATGGGATACATGCACCATAGAAAGCTAACTATATGACACTGTAGTGTCTTAAAAAAAACATTGACAAAAATGTTAAGCATTTTTAATTGACTTGGGAAATTTCAAATGATATTCACAAATCAAATTTAGAAAAAAAATCCGTATTCCAAATATCAGTACAATTCTAAGAATAATTTTTTTAAAGAGTGAGAGGCCAATTTCCACGGACATTTTTGGCCATGAATGTGTTCTTCAAACCCGAAAACGTTAGTTTCATATTCTGTTATTAAAACTTGACAGGGGAAGCTGACACGGAGAGTGAAGATGACGACGATGATGATGACTGTAAGAAATCTTCAATGGATGAGGTGGGTAACTAGGACATCTGTCACACTGGCAATTCCACCCACTAACTAGCCAGCCCCGGCTGCACCTGCTGAATGTAGTCCATGGTCCGCTTCTGCCATCTAGTGGTGGAAAGTGTCACCGTTCATTTTTAAACTTGTTCACTTACCCCTTTGGAGGTGAAGATGCAAACTTGGTCACTGATGGCATGTCCCTGAGCAAAGTTCTCCATACTGACCTGTGTTGCTGAGATTTCCCCCCAGCAAATGGGGTATCTAGAGTGTGAATTCAAAATTTGTGACATCTAACTGACTGCTTCCACTTTTGAGGCAAGTAAATGGATTGCCGATTGGCCCAAAGCCCCAAGAAGACATGAGGTTAAGAGAAATGTTCAGATGTATATTAATTCCACTGGAGTAATTTTGGAAACACTAGAGATGCCTATGGATAGAAGCTCAAGCATCCCAAATGCCTTCATCAGCTCAAAAATGTTCATTGTACAGAATCTAGAAGCAAATCAGGAATAGGTCAATTGGGATTTTAAAACTTTGTATTAGCAGGAGTCTTGTTCAAAAAAGTTATATTGATTCTGCTTTCAGATATATTGGAAATACCTATTTCAGGGTTAAATAACAAATGATAAGCTATTTTTACATGATGTTCTTCCTCTTATTTCCTTTAATGTAGTCTAAGTTTTTGATTAGTTATATTCTTCCACTAAATTTCCACGTAATGTCCAGGAGTAAACCTAAGATTCCTGGTAGTTTCTTGCTAATTTAACATGGTCTTACTAATTGGGTGGTCCAAATATTGCAAATACCTCCCAATTATCCTGCTATGGCAAGGGAGCTATAGCTCAGTGCTTCTCAAACTTGACTGTGCATTTGAATCACGTTAGTAAAATGCAGATTCAGCTCCCAGAGGCTTGTGGTGAGGGCTGAGACTCTGACGGGCTCTCAGAAGGTGCCGATGCTGGTGGTCCCAGAGCACAGTGGGAGCTGCCCCCAAACCCCCTGCCCCCCTCACTTGTGAAATGTCAGGCATTGCTTTTTCTTTCTCCCGTAGTGCATTTTCTATTGGCAGTAATCATTTTCAGACGAGGAGGGATGATTTTCTTCTCTCATGGGTCACTTGATCATTGCCCCAGGGAAATAACCCTCGGTAATATAAGGCTGATTCTGGGCATGTTATTTTTATTCTTGCTTCCAGGGGACCGCTGGGAGTGAGGCCATGGCCACGGAAGAGATGTCTAATCTGGTGAACTATATTCAGCCAGTCAAGTTTGAGTCATTTGAAATTTCAAAAAGTAAGTTTTCCTTGGAGAACCTTCGCACCCAGTGCAGCATATAATGAATCTATTGTAAACACAAGGTAATTAGACCAAAGAATGTTACCCTTAACAGGACTATTCAGTGAGTCTTGAATATATATATATATGAGTTGACTATCTGATTTTTACATAGATTGTTTATATACACCTATAACACATATAGAATAATAACCATATGAGAAAATATTCCACATTTCCCCAAAATACTTAACAAGGCTGTACATGGTTATCTGAAAGATATTAAACCAGAGTACAGCTAATTGAGACTTATACATTTGTTTTAATATGCAACAACAAAGTAGGGTCCATCCATTATATAAGCGACCTGGTTGAAACAAACTATGTGCCTATCCCTCAGAAGGGAAGCAGCCTAGAGACTTGATGAGCACTGATTATTAGAAATAGAACCAATCAATCAATTCACCCACATTGCATTTGTGCAGTCCACGTTTTATATATTTAGGGACCTATAGCATTCATGTAATTTTTTATTTTCTCTTCATCAAACCACTATCTGTATTAGATGCAAAGAAAAGTTTCATTCTTCCACTTAGAGAGAAGAGCCCTTTTATAAATTTGCCCTTTATGTTTGCATGAAACAAGATGCTGTCAGGTTAAGAGAATGTTTGGGACATTTTAGCCACTTTTATAAACAGTGCTCTTCTGTTTAAAACACTGCAGCCTCTTATAAAGAATAGTTTTAAGTGTATCAAAATCCAAGTCTTTATATAACACACTTATGTATAATTGTGTAATTTTGCCAGAGAGTCTCAACATACTGGCATATGGTGTCTCGATATCTACAACAAAGAATAACTTCCAGTACAGTTTATAGATGAAAGGTTTCAACATTTTCTTTGATGTTATAGTTCCTGATGCTTCTTACCACAAGTTGTGGTACAGCATAACTTTCATTAGCTGTAAAATGAGTTTTCCTAATTCATGAGTGAAAAACTCCTAGATAAGTAGTCAGACTGAGAAGGAGCTGATGCATCTAAGTCCTTCAGAACCTGGTAAGAATGTCATCAGCCAAAGGTTTACAAGCAGGTATTTTCTTCTATGTGTTTTATATCACTCTATCACTTAAAAAAAAAGAATACTGCCCTTGTTTTCCAAAGTACCCCTTAAATTGGCTTAATTTTAATTAGTAATCATGCTTAAAACAAATTATATGAAAGATTTTTGATGGACCAAAACAAGGGAGCTAAGCATTTCCCTTAGAGCTGGCTAAATTGGGGAAGGTGAGGAGATGGATAAAGGAGTCTGGGAATGATTAGGAAGAAGAATGAGGTCTTAACTATGGAAAGTGGGCATCAAAAGGGAAAATGCATCAAAGGTAACTCCATCTAAAAAACTGAGAGCTATCTGACCACTTTGGATGATATTCGTCTTAAATATAACTATATATAGCCAAATACACAGTTATATTTACTTTATATAATATAGTTTTACCTTTATAATTATGTTAGGTTTTTTCAACTTTAAAATTTATAGTTGAAAGATTTTAACAACCTTATGTAACACAGTTCTATTTAATTTACAGTTATATTTACACTGAATATATTATATACAATTATATAACTGTATATAATCAAATTGTATATAACAATTTGAGTTTCAGTTGGGAAGAGGACAGAAAAGGCTTTTCATAATTAGTCTTTCTGAACTAAGATAACTTTGTTTCTCTCACTCAAATTGGAAGCTTGGATTTCAAAAAGCTGCTCATGTGTTCAAGAATATTGAGGCCTCTAATGCATTCATGTCCCTGGCCTCTGTTATCTAATCTGAAAATGAGGCCATCAGACTGGAAATTTTCCAAGGATCCTTTTGCTTTGAAATACCATAATTCCAATGCCACATGAGTTGTTTGAACCAAAACAGTATATACAAACTGAGATGATGACAACGTGGGTCTAAGAGAGAGTCAGTATCTAGCAAAAATACACATGTGGTCTCTTCCGTTCATCCTCAGCAATGGCCCCGAGAATCCAGTCTGAAGGGATTTAGAACCAAAGATTCCTGCAGGGCCCTTGCTCGGTTGAAAGAACAGCTTCCATTGCCACACTGGCCACGTCTAACATTCATTTCCCTATCCTCATGCCTCCATGTCCTGAACTTGCACAGCCACAGGCATATCTGACCCAGAAAAAGCAACGAAGCCTCAACTTGGGTGACAGGTGAATAGTTCACTGAAAAAATAAAATAAAAAGAATATAAAAGTGATTTGAGGATTGATTTTGCCCTCCACCTCACTGAGCATTGGCCTACTACTTATGCTATCATTTATAATGATGCATTTTATATTCCTCACTTCTTTTTTTTTTTTTTTTTTTTTTTTGGTTGTCATCTCAGAAAGAAACAAAAGTTTTGAAATGTCTTCCTTTGTGGAAACCAAAGGACTTGAGCAACTGACGAAGTCTCCGGTGGAATTTGTAGAGTATCCTTGATTTGACGGGTGTCTACCAAGTTAGCACAACTGAAGTCCTGTGCTATTTGTTTAATCTGTGTTCTTAGTAAAGAGAAAGGTACATTAAATGACTTCAGTCTGTCTCCTGGGAGTAATAAATAGTTTCAGGTCTTATGTGCAATAATGAATGGGGCAGCCTGGCAGATGGAAAGAGACCTGGCCTTGAAGTAAAGAAAGCCCAGATTCCAAGGTCATTTTCACACCATCAAGCTCTTTGTACTCTGGCAATGTGCTTAATCCTTCTGACTTCCCTCCTCCGTAAAACAAGTAATGGTACCAGCTTTACAGCTCGCTGCTTAAGGTAGGGACAACATATGTAAAGATTGTGTTGTGTGGTGCTTTATACATATGTAAGATATATGTGAGATATATGCATTGGCATGCCCCATCCTTACATGTAATACATGTATAATCAAAAAATAATTGAGATAATGATGATAATATAAATATATATTACTAATGATGGTTTTGTTAATAATCCTGACAAAAAACCTTTTTATTTTTATCCATGAATCAAAATAAAATGAAACAGGCGTTCACATTTTTTTTTTATAAAATGTGTACTAAGTGTCCCAAACAGCTCAATTTCATAGTCGTAGAATAAAAAAAAGTCACCTTTAAAACTCATCAACAATAGGAGAGGGAGTAAATGTTAACTCCATAAATAAAGTCATACTACACTAGTATGAAGTCATGATCACTAGACTGAAGTCATGATCACTAGTATTTATTAATTACTGCCTTTGTGATGGACCTTTTGTGTGTCTTATGTCATGTAATCTTTGCAATAGCCCTGTGATGTAGGAATCATTCCATCTCTTTTTGATCTCATTTTTATAAAAAGCTGAGGCATGGAAAAGTAAAACTTTGCCCTAGATCATACAGCTAGCATGTTCCAGAATTAAGGTTCAAACTCTGTTTGACCTAACTCCCATTCCTGAGCTCAGCACCTTAGTTATTAATCTGTACCAAATCTGGTAATGGGAATAGTCAGTGGTGTGTTAATGGCAAATCAGTGCTCAATAGCTAAAAGGTTCTCAGGATGGAAAGCTGATTACAGTAAGAACCAAAATACAGAACAAGGCCAAAACCTGAGCTATATTTACCTTGTTATCAATCATAAAAAGGACCATAGTCATGACAAATAGCATTCCCAGAGAAGGTTAAGAAAATGAGCAGACAGCATTTCAAAAATAGCTGCGTAGTTCGTATCTGCTTCTTCCAAACACAGTATCCGCCTCTCTCATTGATTTGACACGCTTGAGTTTCCTCGTGTGTCTTTAATCATTAAGCCCATTCTTAATAATCGCCACAAGAATCACACTGTCTTTGACTCAACCTTTTTGCTACCTCAATAGTTTTCACCCACAAGGCTTTGTGGAAGTGATGCTACGTTTATATTATAAAAGTGCGTTTATTCTGTTTGTTCAAAAACCTTTTTAAAATTACATCCATTGGTCCAGTGAGGTTATCAATATTCAGTTCATTTCCCCCGTGGAGAACTATGGAAGGTGACCTCTCAGTAAATAGTATTGGCTCATTATTTTTATAATTGTATTCACTACTTAACATGATGGTCCAGATATAACAAAATGCAGCTTAGCAGGATATATCCAAAAGGAACACGTGTGGATTCATCCAACTATATGCCTCAGCTCTTCTGGAATGCAGGTTGTCAGATGGTGGCACTGAATTTCCAAACAGTGGGTAAGTAGAGCTTGGCTCTGTTCTGCCATAAAGCCACATTTCCAAGTGTCCAAAAGCCATTCCCAAGGAGAAAAGAATTGCCACACTTGATTGCAAAAACTTGATTGTAAGAAGTTTCAGTGAAGGAATTATCAATGCAAAAAAAAAAATCTGAGTTTTAAAATGGAGAAATTGTCTTTTGTAGTTTATAAATAAGCCTTTATTTCTACTGGTCTTGCGCTACTTTCAAACCAAAATGTTTATACTTTTTAAAGCAACATGTATTGCAGAAAATTTGGAAAATTCAAAAATAGTGTAAAGAAAAAAATAAAACTGCCAGGAATGTTGCCACTCAGAGATTTAACACTGTTCATTTTTGGCTTTGTAGTCTTAAGTTTTTTTGATTGTGGATATACATTCTTTTTCACTTAATTCCTTTTTAAAAATACACACATTTAAATTCTATACAGAAACATGAATTTTAATAGCTGTATATTAAGCACATTTTGCAATTAACTAAAACCCATTTCCTGTCATTGAACATTAGGAAATTTTTTCTACTATAAATAATGCTCTGGGAACTGTTTTGAGTATAAATTGTCAAGTCTGTCTCCCAATGTTCTTTTGGAAAAGTTCCTAAAATAGAAATATTGTTAAAAGATTTGAAAGTTTTAAGAACCTTTGTGCAGAATGCCAAATTGTCCATCACAAATGTTGCACTAAATGGCATTTATGGAGTCAAAACAAGGTAACTGAGCAAAGATTATAACTTTATAGAGATAATGGGGAGGCAGAAGGAATGGGGGCAGGAGTGAAGAGAGCTCAATCCTCATCTTCTGTAGACGTCAACAGAAAAATAGCTGAACTTGGAAAGATCAAGAGACAGCAATACAAACATTTCATTTAGAGCCATGAAGGGAAATAAAACCTATCATCAGCTAAAAATGCAGTGAGTGCTTGCTTTTATAGAGAAGTGGAAGCCTGCTTTTTTATAACAATTTGTGTTTCTCTTGACTCAGAATGTATACATATATGAATCCAATAAAAATAGTTTAAAAAACTAAAAAAAATGTGTTGCATTAGATTTCTCCTCTCTCAGCAATGTATGATATGGTGTGTTCCTTCTCATTTGAAATCTTCGTTAAATATTATCATTAAATAATAATATAATAACAATAATAAAATTTCAGAAAAAATATCTCACTGTTTTTTTAATTTCACTTCTTTGATTATCATTTAGGTCAACCATGTAAATACGTGTTTTGAATTTTATTTTTCTGTTTTTATGAATTGCCTATTCAAGACTATCACTAATTTTCCTTTTCATTTTTTTAAAATTTTGTTGTCATTAATCTACAATTACATGAAGAATATTATGTTTACTAGGGTCCCCCCTTCACCAAGACCCCCCACAAACCCCATTACAGTCACTGTCCATCAGTGTAGTAAGATGCTGTAGAATCACTACTTGTCTTCTCTGTGTTGCACAGCCCTCCCCATGCCCCCCGCCACATTATACATGCTAATTGTAATAACCCCTTCCTTTTTCCCCACCCTTATCCCTCCCTTCCCTCCCATCCTCCCCAGTCCCTTTTCCTTTGGTAACTGTTAGTCCATTCTTGGGTTCTGTGATTCTGCTGCTGTTTTGTTCCTTCAGTCTTTCTTTGTTCCTATACTCCACATATGAGTGAAATCATTTGGTGTTTGTCTTTCTCTGCATGGCTTATTTATACCCTCTAGCTCCATCCATGTTGTTTGCAAATGGTAGGATTTGTTTTCCTCTATGGCTGAATAATATTCCATTGTGTATATGTACCACATCTTCTTTATCCATTCATCTACTGATGGACACTTAGGTTGCTTCCATTTCTTGGCT